GCGTACATTGAAACCAAGCGTCGTTAGTTCTTCTTTAATAACTTCAGTGGGGGTTGAGGAATGTAAATTTCTTATCACTACTCGTAAAGCTCTTTCCTGCCTCAGCTGGTAAGTGTGAAAATTCGCATTTGTTTCTGATAAGTACTTCACTATTTTTCGGTAGGCTTCTGCAGAATCAGGTGTTATCTTGGTGTCATTGGTCCTGTTAAGGCATGAATAACTGCCAGAGCAGATTTTATTTAGTTGGGTGCAGAACATCTGGAAATTTTTTATATTTTTCACAAATATCGGAGGAGGCTTTGGTTCTCTGGGTATTGCTGCAGACTCCATTACTTCTTTGTCATTTTGAAGCACTTGGTAGGGGTTTGGAGTAAAGAAAGGTGATTCTTCAATCGTTTCTTGTGCAGACGTACCTGGTTGGGGCTGAGGTTCTGGTTCTGAAGTGTTCATTTTGGTCACTGGAGGTATTTCTCGTAGGCAGCGACGAGTCCTTTGTTTGGCTGGTGAGCTAACTCCGTCTGACCGAGACCTCTTGGGCACCTTACTGGCCATCACTTGCTGATCATACCGCATATCATAAGAGAAAAATAAATAAATAAATAAAAAAAAAGAAAAAAAAAGAAAAATTTTTTTTTTTTTTTTTTTTTTTTTTTTTTCCTTAAAATAACAAAAAAAAGATGCCAACAGTAAATATCAACTGCTCTTATATACACTTTAACTGTATCACGTGAATAATCAGAGAGATTCCGCTATAAAATTGGTAAAAACTGAGAGAGGAGTTGAGGAGACAACCTTCTCATCAGCTGATCCACTGCCTTCTTGTCGATGATTAACTAAAGAAGAAATAAAAAATCGTATCGGAGAATAGTTATAATTGATCGTACCCGAGCTCAGCTGAAAGATTATGAAAGTCTTTCATACGCACATGAGCTTAATATAATACGGATTCCGACAATATTATATAAATATAAATATGCTGTTTTCATAAATGCTATTTTTGGTATTATTTAATATTTCATTTTATAGATTACACCGATATAAATGTTAAAATCTGTATACATATATATAAATATATATATAATGGTACTTATACAAATAAAAATACCCACAATGAAATATAAATAATTATAGTGTCTATAATTTTTACTTTCATTTCTCCTTTGTCGGAAAATATTTATTTCTGCTAAGAAGAGTTGTGAAGTGAAAGTTGTGTGATGGGCGCACCGCGCCAGATATCTTTTTTCCTAGTTCTAATATTTCGTAGCTGCATTATAATATTAAAATAATGCATATTTTGTTAGTTTAAGTATTTAACTCAGATAACTCAGAAAAATAAATATGTACCAATGGAGAAATAAATTATGTTTTAAAGAAGGATATTTCTTCCTGAGTTACTTGCTGCTATATAACTTACATGGGTCCAAATCTAGAAGTTTATTATTTTCAATAATCCGTGTCTGTTTTCAATCATTGAATTCGTCGAAAATAATCTACTTACGCGCAGTAAATTAATTAAAAACAAAAATAAATGGAGAGTAAATATCCAAACCTGAATATAATGGTGAATACTCTCCAACAGCATTCCATACATGGTTAGAGAGAACTGTCTAAGTTTGTACTTATTTGATAGCGAAGTAAATTTGATTGCTGTTGTAATTGAGATGCAAAACCTGAGCGTCATGCTACTCCCAGGGGGCTTCCCTAATGTGATTGGTCCGCCTGGAACCCTTCTTCTGGCCAATGGTCGCCCGTTAATGGGATAGGGGTGCATTTCCATTTACGAATGAGCTTTGGATAAGTTTGATACGGATTCGTCCAACTCGAAACCGACCGCCAGACCTGATTGCGTTGAATTGCGATTCATTTCCTCGAGGGAATGATGGGATCAGAAAAGAATCATTACGTGGCAGATGGGCATATATTGAGCAAGCATATAGGGCATATATGGGATGTCCCTCTTCAACATTACACTCAGTACGCAATTCCTCATTTTGCTAACAATATTTTTAAGTTAAAAAAATCAATTTAATAATTTGCAACTCACTTTGCATACTGAAAAGGAAGTGCACGTGTAACTGAAGTATTCGATGTAGCCTTGTGTACATGTGTAAAAATTTCCATTAGAGAACAAACTTATATAAACCCGAATCTTAACAAGTGCTAGTTACAATAATTTTCATCCCTTTTACTTTTATTTTTCGACAATATTGAAATTTAAGACACCAAACATTTGATTTTCAATTTTAATACATGTTTACATAGAGTTTACAGTTACTGCATTGAATTTTAAATAAATATAGATGATTTAAAAAAGTAACCGAATTTAATATTTTTTTCATCTTTTGAATTTAAAATCAAGCCTACCACACGATCGTACACATACTTTCCTGATTCTTCAATCAAATATTTAATTATCAATCAATGTATATATGATGGACTATTAAATGACGGGGATATTGTACGCTTTATTAAAGCTAGAAGAATTAGTTAGCTATGACACGTTAAAAGACTGCCAGATGACATAGCAACGAAAAAGATACTTAGAGAGGAATTTCCGAATCGAGTTTGAAATCAACTATTTTTCTAATATATTTCAGAGAGAGTTAGGTTAAAGCAAGAAGTGACAACATGTAAGCTTACAGCACGGGCGGATCTACGGGGGGGGGGGGGGTTTCGGGCTGAAGCCCCCCCAAAATGGTAAAATATAACCATGTTTTATCGAAAAAAATTTAAATAAGTATCTCTTAAAGTATTATTGTTCGTGTAATTACATTTTAAAGGGCTTTAGGGATCACTTAAACACCATTTCATATAGGTAGTTAGTTTCTTTCTTTTTTTCCAAAGTAATTATCGTTATTTTTATGAAAAAAACAACTTTCGGGCTTAAGCCCTCCCCCCCTAAAAATAAATCCTGGATCCTCTAGTGGCTTACAGAGTTAGTACCAGAAGGGAGATTATTGAACTGAGTTCTCCAGTACTTCTGAGAAATCGAACATAATGGCTTCTACAAGAATGTCAATCCCTATTTCCACTAGAACTAAAACTAGCCTGTTACAATTAAATTTTCTTGCAAGTAAATATTAGTCATTTTAAAGAATTTCACATACCTAATTAAAGATTTTACTTTTTTTCAACACAAATCTCTGTTATATTCATGAAGATGAAATGATGTTAAAAAAAATTGTGATTTTATTGCTTTCTCACTACCAAAGCATTGTGTTATGAAGATTTTAAAAAAAATGTCTACTCAGAAACGAAAATTTCCACGCGCGATTTAGGGAAATATTTAAAAGAATGATACTCAATTAATATCAATAAATACAAAAAAGTTTATGTAAACAATGGTTCGATTTTTAGCAGGGAATTAAAGTTGTGTGAATTTTTATGTAAGCCACATTTTTTGTTGAATATGAAGTGATAATAAAAAAACTATTTAATTTAAGTAATTAATGATAGATTCACTGTAAACTCGACAACATTTTTTTTAAATAAAAATAGAGTTTGTTTTTGTTAAAACCATTTAAAAAGGACTTTTGAGCGACTAAACTAAGGAGTGGGGGGAGATTGGAGGTGGTGAGGGAACTGGTAGCAGTGAGGGAAGCACGTGGTACAGAGGTGCGCCCCTCCCCCCCCCTGAGAAAATTCCTGGATCCGCCACTGGTTGTTTGAGATTTTTTGCTTATAGTGTATTATTTGTTTTTCTGTTATTCCATTTAATGTTACCTATGTTCTTTATTGTGAGATAACGTAATATAAGTCTCTAAATAAATAAAAAAATTCCCTCCCCCAAAAAAACTATATTTAAAATTAATTTCTACTTAAATGAGATAGTGGTATGTAGTAAGGAAAAGACTTTCAGACCGAACCCTTCTCTCTTACCTCAAAACTTTTTATTATTATAATATTTATCTATTATTATAATAAATCTTACTTTGAATAATTAAGCTATATAATTAATTTCTTAATAAATAATTTTAATAGCTTGTCCTTCAACATATAGTAGAGGTGTCAATTTAAACATACAAATAACTCTGAAAAAAAGGTTTAAGACCCATATCAAGGAATTATGGATACATTATTGATGTACCTCAAATATAATTTAACAATTCATACTAAATTTTTATAGATTGTACCAAAAAAGAAATACGATGCCTAAATGCAAAGAATTGAAACAGGGCCTGATGAACAAATCATGGAAAGGTAAAATAAAAAAGTATAATATGAAATAAATAAAAAAATACTTACTAATGATATTAATAATAATAAGACATTTTTTATTAACTTCTCCGCAAGCTAGAATTTAATTCATATAAGAACCCGGAAGAAAAACAAGCACTAGATGTTAATTAATAAGAAGATGTTAGTTAATAAGAAGCATCACCATATTACAAAAAAAAATGTAATAAATTGTAATATATTTTAAGTATCATTTATTTTAGAAATTATTTTCTGAACTTTATTGATAATGGATCTTAAGAAACAAACAAAACATATTTACTTTTTCTATTTAATAATAAACAGTTCACATAAGTAACAGTATAAATATTATATTAACTATAATGGTTTTGTTATAAATATACATCTAGGAGAAACAAATAAGTGTAAATAAACTAAAAATATTTAAAAAAGAATAATTAATAATTATTGGTTTTAATATAACAACTAGTAACAAAGGAAATGTTCAAGAAATAGGCTTTCATTTTATAAGGTATGTGTTCGAAACAATTATCATATTATTTTTGTACAGAGAAAATAAAAATATTTAAAATCTGTAAAATTACATCAAATCTCTGAAGTGTAATATATAATATATTCTACGGATAAAATAATAGAAACACAATATCATTTTTGTGCAATGATCAAATCTTTAATAATTTTTTTTTCAAAAATTGATACTTGATTATTTGAAGTTATCATTTCTACTTGATATTTTAATAATTGTCCAATTACAGATTTTTTAAAAATTTTTACAAAGTAAAAATATTAAGCTATTTATTTACTTTTATTATTATTAGCATTTCTTTATAAATACAATACTGAATCCTTGTCTTCAAAGATTTGTAAAAATAAAAAAAAATGCTTCACTTATCTCCTGTAACAATCAATATTGCATCAGATACTTATTACATTAATGGCACTCATTGAGCTACTACAAGGAACTAATTCCAATATTGATATCAGCCTCTTAAGTCTAAAAATAAATTATTGGTTTGCACCCAAAGGCTGAACATTTATCGTTAATAACTTATAAAATGAACTACAAAAAATATGATTAAAAAAAATAAGATTCACTTTCAATTCCATTTGGTATTTTAATACTTCCCACTTTCATAATTACTTACTATTTATTTTTGTCTGTTTTATTATACAATATTATATATTTTTCATCAGGCAATTATGTTATTTTGGATATTCAAAATATGTTACATAAAAAATAATGGGTTTTCATGTTACAGTTCCAACCTGATTAACAAAAATTTCTTCTAATTGTACATTATTTGAAATCAAGGCAAGTATAGTTTTATGCCCCATTAAAATATGAAATAATACAATTACAAAAAGAAACATTTTTTTTGTATGTAAAAATTAAACTTTTGATCAATCTGATCTTTGTAAATTCCTCTTTAATTTTATCGTTATTCTGTTGGTTTCCAAGTATAGCTATATTTAAAAGATAGGTGTAACAATAAGGCTGTAATATAATCAAGCCGTCCTCAAAATTGCTTGTAACATTAATTCAATCAATCACGAAACATCTATTAAACTATAATTTTATTTATTTTAGAATATTATATGTAATTTATAAAAACATTAGTCTTCCAAACTTTTACAATACAAAAACTATTTTAGAGGTAAATTGGAAATTTGTATTTTTACCAGATAACGGAAAATAAACTCTAACAAATTTCTTATTCATTTGTTTTGATTTTCTATAAAATGTATTAAGAAATAACTTCACTATGTTCCTGTTTACAATAATATTTGGGTGTTTACGGCAGAAGTGTGAATAACTTTAAGAAATAATTATGCATAATATTCTAATTCATGGTTCCTCGGATCGTGACAAAGGCAAATCTTAATTCATGATAGAAAAGCAAATGGTTACTTCATCAATATTCATGGATGAAGGGAATGTCTAAATCACAATTAACAACCAAAGTTCATCAGACTAACGTAAAGCTATTAGCAGTTAAACGAGACTTAATACAATGGAAAATTACTTGAGTGAATGTTAAATAACCTAGCTGTAGTTAATTTAGTGAACCAGAAAGCTGTTTATCATAAACATACTCATAGAAGCAAGATGAAAAATTCAAATTTTCAGAAAATAAGATAAATAAATATTCCGAGCTTTCGGAATTCTGTGACAAAAGAGAAGAAAAATCCTCCTTAACTCAGTTTGATGTTTCATGATAAGTAAATAAAAATTAAAATGAATTATTCTTCTGTCATTATAAGATTGAAATTTCAAAAATAAAAATCTTTCATGTGCAAAACTTGTTTAAATGTAAATCTAGATGTATAAAGCATTATACATTTATACGCCAATAATCCCAAATAAAAAAATAATAGTATCCAGACTTCCAGTTCTTATTCCAATTCTATCTCATATTTCCTATATACTATTTCCTATATATATATATATATATATATATATATATATATATATATATATATATATATATATATATATATATATATATTCCTAAATATATATCCAATATATTTTTTTTTTTTTTTTTTTAAATATCACAATCCTTTACCATTTTTTCCGGAAAAAGTATGCTACAATCATTAAATTATATTTCAAAGCCTACATTATCTCAAGAATTCCTTAATATTTCTCTCTTCTCTAGCATTTCAAAATTATTAAAATCATTAATCACACGATACCATATCTGAAGGATCATAAAAAAACATTCTCCCCTGAAGTTGAGGACCTCAACGCTGTCCAGTCTGTTTCTGGACGGGGTATCATACCCAGTTTGGTTATTCCTTTTTCCTGTTTTGAACTAAATCAAAACCAGACTACTTCTCTACCATGGTCTGGTTACATGCCCCAGACCTAGGTACTCCTCGATAAGCTTATTCTCCTCACATAGAACCCCAATTTGTAGTATTACATCCAATCCCTATCAGTAGCAAATTTTGGGTTTTATTTGGGGAAAGAGGGAACTATTTATTTATTTTTTTAATAACGGTAATTTTTTTGGACAAGTGCTTTCATTTAGCAGCTAAATTATTTGTGTTTAAGCTAAAATTTCTTCACAAACTTCCATCTCAATGTATCATCAGGTAAAATTTTCTAAAGACTATTCACCCATTACCGCTGTGCCCTCTGTCCTCTGTCAGAATTTATAAATTATAGTGACTTTCAGACCATTTATTGAAAACAAATAAAATAAATGGAAATAATAAGGTCGATAAATGTTGAAATCATAAACTTTTCTGAATGTTCGAGAAGATTAAATTTCATCCTCTCTGAAAGAAATTAGAAAGAGTTGTGAAAAAAAATATATTTTGGTGAACCAATAAAATAAGCGACCTCTAATATAAATCAGAGCAGGATCAACAACGCAACAGAAGTATAATATGGAATAGAGACCCAGTGCCTAGAAGAAAACATTTTTTGCTTGCATAATCATTCGAAATAAATCTTTGTTAAGTTAGTTTGTTTAAGAGATGAAAAACGCTCTCATTTTTATAATAATTTGGAATTCTTCTTATCATTGTTTTTTTTTTTCAAATTAGTCATTTAATATTTCTTCTGTTTAAAGTTATAAGTTTAAAATTGAATTTCATATATTTTTATTTATTTCCATTTTTATTCATAATCGTTCAACCAAAGCATCTTCAAGTCAAATAGTGGCAGAAATCATAACACATCTAGCTATGTTGCTTCCAATGTAACATCTTCTACAAGCTAAAAATAAAACGGAAATAAAATGTTCTTCAACCATATTGATGAATGCCCGAGTAGTTTTAATCGACTGTCGAAAACGAGTAGCGAATTGCAATATCTGAAAAGTGATTTCTTATCTTCTGAAAAAATACACAGAAAACAAATAAAAAATATGAAGGAAATATTAAACGATTTTATGGAATTCGTTTTTCTCATTAACACATAAACTAACTAACAATTAGAATTACCTAAGAGTTTGATTGTGTTATTCAGAAACTATAAGACAACTTTTCTGAATCGTTTCCAAAGTAACTGATTGAGAATGTTCTTCACGGTTTCCGAAATGAAGCTTTGTCGATCAGAAAAAGTGCATTTGATTTGTTAAAAAGGCATGAAGAAACCACTTTCCATGGAGTAGCGATAATTTTGCTTTTCAACTTGTGATCCAAACCGAGGGCGAACAAAATTATTGGTGCAAATTACTTCAGTTATTTAAATGTTAATAAAACGAGGTGTCGCGTTTCGTGGTAATGGAAACTATTGTTTTACTTCATAATGAAAATTATTTAGGTTTGTGAGCATTAATAGTCAAGTTTTGCATTTTTGTGAATAAGTAACTAGAGGAAAGTGGCATATATCATACTTATCAAAAACAATATGCTTGAAGTTTATCCATCTTTGTGCATAGAACTTAATATATCTTATTTCCGAAATTATGAAACATAAGTATTATTTGGTATCATAGGACTTAACTACATTACTACCTATTTCTTACTTATAGAACTAATGGAAAGATTTTTAAAGTTCTTGGATACGGAAGATATAAGGCATACATAAGTATTGTGAAACAACTCAACCAAACTTAACTTATTTTTTTCAGAGAAATTAAATTTATTTCAAAGGCTATTGGGATTAAAACTATGACAATGTCCAGCAACATGAGTGTTATAAAAGCTGCCGTTGCCGATCCATCCCCGCTTCTCGCTTCTCCTCCAATAATTTCTAAACATTGGCTCAAGCGTCACTCCTTACTCATAACTCATTGATGTAGATAGAAAAGCATTTAGGAGATAGGGAGACCTCCAAAGATTCTCTTCTAACTTCTCAACCTGCCTGCCTGTTTTTCCAACTGATACAAAAGGGCTCAACTTTCCATCTTCAAATATTTTCAACGACATGTTCTCCCCACTTCCGATGGATGATCTTAATGCCGGCCTTAGGGTGGGGCAACCGGTGGTAATACCCCAGGGCGCCGACCTGGAGGATCACCCGTTGGGGACGCCGCCCAACCGTCAGGGGCGCTAGCCACTTGTTAGAAATTAAAACAAATTACAAAAAGTATTAAAATAATTAATTTTAGCCTATCAATAAAGCATCTGTATTAAAGATATGTTGAATGAAATAAAATTCAAATATTACATGATATAAAACAGCTTAAGAAATAAATTTAATTTATTAGGGGAGGGGAGAAGATGACGTCATTTCTCGGGAGCGCCGGATATCTAAGGACGCACTGGATGGTCTCACCACACTTCAGAAAATAACCTAGTGTCTTCTTCTTATATGTCCTGCCTATTTTCTTATTAGTGCGTACAGAATCCCACTGGGATTAAGTCAAGATTCCTTTTATATCTATACAGTTTATAGTTACCTAACCTACTTTTCGTCATATGCCAATTGTTCAATTTAACTTCTATTTATGATAAATTCTAAGAAAGGAACTTTAGCAAGAAATCTATTCTTTCAGAAATCTTTTCTTTTAACTCTCCTCTTCTACTTCAACGACCTTATTGAAACTTTCCGCTTCCCGATCTGGCCGTCATATGTGAGTTATTGGCTCCTGAGGTAAGATTTTACCTTGGACCCTTCCAATCCACTCCTAAACCGTCCAATAGTCCATTTGTCCATATTTTAATAAAGAGAGACATAAATGATAAGTATAGATTGAATCCCAAATCGGCTATTAGAAATTTAAATTAATATAAACTAACATTAGACTAGCTTTGATCATTGGTCCTATATCTATCAATTTAAATTTAAAATATTTTTTTGTATCAAACTTTGGATGCATCACAAACACACAAGAGACCCTACTATCTGAATTTATGTAAGTCATTCTACATCTTCCCAGTCATGATGGGACATGTTTATTACAAATTAATTCTATAAAGTATGGAAAATGACAACGTACGATTTTTTCTTGTCACTGAAATAGAAGTTAATGTTAATTCACATGTTGTACTAGAGGTTACCAATCGGTTTCGTCTTTAAGAAGGCCATTTAAATTCAGTATTCTCATATAATAGTGACGGATTATTTTTAAATAAATTTACTTTTTTTTTGTAAATCATGCATACAACTTAAGATCTTCTGGATCGGATTTTCCAAT